GCCCGCGCTGCACCAGGGCCCGAGACAGACTGGGCCGGGAAGAGCCGGAGACTGAGGAGGAGGTGGAGGCGGCGGCGGAGGCGGGGCGACTCCGGTGACCGGGAGCGCCGCAGACTGGCAGCTGCGGCGACTCCCCTCTTTGTGTCTGGTCTGCTAGGAGCCACTGGAAGTGCTTCCCGGAGGGGCGCGGGGTGTTTCGCCGCCTGGTTGCCCACCCCCTTCCTCAGCCACCTACATCCGCCCTCCCGCCGCCCCCCGCCCTCAGCTCGCAACGCCCGAGCTCCGCCCGGAGCCTAGGGCTGCGGGAAAACGAGGCGGCAGCGGCGGCTTCCTCGGGGCGGTTGTGATTCCCTCACTGGAGCCATTGACGGAGAAGACGAGGCTTTCACGGTGGAATCTACCTCAGGCAAGATGGAGCGGCAGCAATAAAAAAAGGGAGAGAAAGGGAGAGGAGAGCACTCGGGAGGGCCAGAAAGGGCAGCCTCCCCTTACCTCCCTCCGCCCGCTGTCTCGGGGAGCTCGGGGCCCAGCCCGCCGACCCCTCCCCTCCCCCGCCTCCTACCGCCCCTCAGCCCCCCAACCGGGACCTGCCGGACCCTCGTAGGATTGTTCCGCGAAGGTGTGCAGGCGGTGGGTTCGTCCATGGAGGCAGGCACCTTTTTCGATCCAGTCGAGGAAGAGGATTTGCTGTGCTCGAAATAGGAGTAAAGGAAGCACCGAAGCGAAACTTAGAAGGAATCCTGCCCTCCCGGAGCCACGGGCGATGCGCTTCGGCCCGCAGGGCGCCGCCGCCGCCCGCCCGGCTTCGCCCTTCCCGGCAGTCGGGAACTTGTTCTGATCCTCGGCACCCCCGTCGAGTCCCCGCTCCCCAACCCTCGGCATCCTGGATATGTTTTCTCCCAGACCTGGATATTTTTTTGATATCGTGAAACTACGAGGGAAATAACTGAGGGCCTTCTTCCTATCTCCCTGCTTCTCCCCACGGACATGCCTTCTGTTTGGGGGGCCAAAGCGAATGAACCCCCCCGGCCGCGAGGGAGAGAAGTGAAGGGAGTTTCTGCGGCGGAATGAAAGCTCTGCAGCTCGGTCCTCTCATCTGCTATTTGTCCTTTCAAACTGCATTGTAATACGGGCCAGATAAGTCAGACGAGAGAGGGGACTAGCCTCCTGGCTGGATTTCTCCGCCCGTGTTTACTTTCCATATTTCTTTGCTCTCCTGCTTCTCGGCTGGCCCAGGGATGACTTCGTCGCTGCAGCGGCCCCGGCGGGTGCCCTCGCTACTGTGGACCGTCCTGCTGGTCAGCGCTGCGGCGGGTGAGTAGCTCCGGGCGGCGTGTCGGGGCCACTTCCCCCTGTGGGTGGCGAGGGTGGAAGCCCGCAGAGGCCGAGGCCTGCGCTCGCCCTTGGCGACGCGTCCCCCGATCGCCCTGTACCTGCGCGCATTTCCCAGGCCTTCCAGGGAAATAACCTTTCACATTTTTGTGTAGTTTTGGATCCCAACTCCTCGTATTCCCCACCCCCCCACCCCCCACGTGTGTGTGGGGGAAAGACATATTGGGTGTGGTATCTTGACATTTTTAGCTGTGAGGTAATGCAAGGATTAAAAATATTTTAATCACCAGTGAACAGTGTAATCTATTATGAGATCTTTGGAAGGAGAGCTATAGATTTTTTTTTAATATAAAGAGGCGGATTTGGCTTAGAGTAAAAAGAGCATCAACTATGGAACATACACTTGAACCTTATTTTTAGATTTAGATCACTCTATGGGAATCCATGTTACTTTCATTATTCCAAAAGTGTTCCCGAATGAATTGGATTAATGTCGAGGAAGCCAGTACTGTGAGAGTCTTAGTGCATTGTATAATACTGTTTATTATTATCATTAGCCTGATTTTGTTCCAAAATATTTTGTTTATTGTATTTCCATTTTTTCTTCAATCTGGACATTCGTTTTTTGTATGCTTTTGGAATTACTGTTGGGCTTATAAGTATTTTCGGTAACTTTTTATTTAGTCATCTGATATCTCTTGGCTTTCCTGTCATTGAGACAACTTTGACCTCACTTCAGACTTCTAGGAGATTTGACTCCTGAAAGTTCTTTTTGACATTTTACTGAAACCTAAAGGGAAATGGTAGTCATCATTTCCTTAGAATATTTTGTTTTTAGTTCTCAGGCACCTTAGGAAAAACCTCATGTTCCGTTTGCAATTGTTTTTCAAGAAGTCTTTTGGCGACTTGCTTTTAGAAATTTTCAGGAATGAATTGTACATATACTTGTTAAATTTGGTTTGTAATGGCCAGATAGATTATGCATTTAAAAACGAAGAAAAAACATTCACACCTTTCCAATTACTTTTTTTTAGTAACTGTAGTTTTTCAGTATATTTCTCATTGGTATGTTAGGTTGCTTGCTTATTTCCATTTAAAAAGTCTGTATTGGGAAAATATTGAAAGAAAATTTGAACTTTCCTTTTGTGCTTTTGATATTGTTGATGTCTATGTTATGGTTGTGTTAAAATAGTTTGAATTCTGAATTCAGTGTGTTTTGACACTGGTATTTTAATATTCTTAATCGTCACAATTCCTTTTGGGGTAAAAATGAATGATTTTTGTCTAGATATCTTTATATTGTGTTAGCTGTTTAAATTCTCTAGTCATAAGCTGTGTGGTTCCTGTAAAATATGAAGAGAGTAAAAGGCCTTAAGCTTAAGCATTCTAAGAGCAGAAATCTCAGAGAATAGACTTTTTAATGTCGTTTGTTATTCTTGACCTTAGAATGTAGATTCTCATTTATAGTTGACAGGCTTATCATTTTGGATCAGAATTGATAAAAGAGAAAAAACAATGATTTAAAAATAAACTTAATTTCTATTTGGTAAATAAAATACTAGAATAATGACCCTTAAAAGAGATGGATTAAAGTAATCACTGCTTGAAAGTAGTTTTAGTCATCTTTTTTCTTTAGTATTACGTAGCACCAGATGCCAAAATTTGTGAAGCTGGATTTCAGAGCTATAACAATACTATTAATAGTATTTATTGAGTGTTGCTATGCGCACTTTTTCATTTGATCCTCATGTATTTTCTTATTTGATCCTCGTGACAATTCTTTACTCTAGGTTCAATTATGTTCCTTTTATAGAGAGAGCGAGTGAAGTACAGAGAATTTAAATAACTCGCCACACAGTCAGTGAATTGTGGAGCCTGCACCCGTACCTACCACATTAATGATGGCAACAACTTCTCTAATTGGGAACTTGAGGTGGAGTTAGTGCCTTCACCAGATCAGCCTTTGAAAAGAAGTAGGGACACTTGACAGGATCTTGGTACAGCATTAGTTATGCAAATGTCATGGTTCTAAATGTGTAAAACTTTGCTTTGCTTAATATTGGAGTGGCTAGTGCAGTTCCATTAAGTGCTAGGTGACTAGTTATAGGGCCTGTGTAGATTTGGGGTATAGAGATGCAGTGATGTAGCTAGACAGGTGCAGATAGTGCAGCTGAACAGGAAAAAAATACTGAAGACTGATACCCCATCCCTCTTTGGGGTCATGGATAAACCCTCTATTTCTTTTGAGTCCCTCTTTTTCACTTACTCTATCTAGTTCTTGGATTCCTTAATTCTATGAACAGTTAGTATGCAACAATTAGAATTTATGAAGAATATGATGTGCTTGTTTGGTTTATAAATGAATTCTTAATTTTAATAAAAGGATAATACAAGGTAATATTTATTTAAAGATCAGCTTCTGTTAAAAAAATTTTTTTTTAAGTTGCTGCACTTTTTATTTAGGTTGTAATGGTTACAGATAACATCTAACCTTATATCCTGCCCCATCCTATGCAGCCCACTGAGCAGACTGAGCTACCCTCTCCCACCAGTCTTAGTTCTTGTTTTCCTCCTACATGCCATCCGTGGTGGCCTGCGAGGCCAGGGAGCCCATGGTATTTCGAATGGCCTCATTATTAGGATCCATGTGTGGAAGTTTCTCCAGGACACTCTGAAGGAACTCAGGGTCCTACATCATGTCATAATCCTCTTTCTCCTTGGCTGGCTCAGATGTGTCCATGGCTGAACTGGCACCAATGTCAGCTGATTCTGCTGAGTCGGTGTCATCTGATTCTTCCTGCATTTGAAATAATTCACTTGACTGTATTTCAGTTTTACATACATCTCTTAAGAAACACACACATTGTCTAAAGTAAGACTTACCTCTTTGTTCTTGAGCAGTTGGTAAATATTGTTGAGGAACTAGAAATTTAGTATTTTTTTTTTTTTTAGTGTTGAGAATCTCAAGATGTAGGCACTGCAGGAGCACCTGTGGTTCTTGATAAAATGCGTATTTCTGGTCCAGCAGTCTAGATGTAGTGAATGAGCCTCTCTCTGGGACTATATATATTTTTAAAACTTGAAGCCCAAAAGATTCTGTATTCAGACTTTTTTTTTTTAAACGAAAGCACATGTTTTGCTTGTATTGTTTGTATTCCGGCAGGGAGGCAATTAGATTTCTTCATTGATTTCTGCTTGGAGGCCTGGGAATTGAACCTGGGACCTCCTGCGTGCTGAGCATGCGCTTTACCAATTGAGCTATACCCTCCCCCGAAGCCCAAAAGATTCTGATTCAATGTTGAGAACCGCTGCTTTATGTAATCAGTCTTGATTGTTTAGATTTCTTAAATATTGTGATTCAATCAGTTTTGCTGCATAATAACTGACAACCACAGAATTATAGTAGCATTCAACAGTGAGCAGTTATTCTGCTCCACTTCTCCCATTGAGGTGCCCAGGCTGGAGGGAATGGTAACATCTCTGTGAGGGAAGCTCATCTCATGGCAGTGATGGCAGAAGCACAAGAGGACAAGCCCAATCCCACCAATTTCTAGACTGTGCTCTTCTAACATCCCTTTGGCCTAGCCCAAAGACAAGGGGTAGTGCAGTATACTTTGCCTGTATCGAGGCCATGGTTAATATATGGATGTATGATACTTTTGCTGGGAAATGAAGAATTAGGACTTTCAATTGAAGATATAGTCCAGGAGGGAAACTTCTCTTACCATTCGAACAGGGGCAAACTCTTGATTAGGCCTTTGCATAAAAATTATACCAACTTTGGTCTGCACAAAAGCTATCCTGGCATGTGGGTTGCTCTCGTGGTGGTATTGGTGTTGGTGTACGTGTGAAACGTGGGGTGGAGGATGTTTATTCCAGCTTTCTTTCATGAAAGGCCAACTTTCTTAACAGTGAAAGAGAAGAAATTGAATATGGTCTCTATTGGGTAAATTCTAACTATAGAAGGTACAGAGTGAAGTCAGTATAAATCAGTTGTTTTTATAACTGTCCATACCACTTATTTTAGCACTTGCTCATGTATTGCCTTGCTGTTAAATATTAGTTTTGTGTATTTGCCTGTCCTCCCAACCTGATAATTGCTTCTACAGGACAGGGTTCATGTCTTAAATTGTTTTGTAATTAAGAGTTTAAGAAATACTGAATGAATGAATAGTAGAAGGGAATTGGAGCCAGTAAGTACTGTAAGATTGTTCAATACATCAAATGATGTTTTAGTAATTTATTCTTTGTTTGTCCCAGTTCTTTCAACTATAAAGTAGTTTAAATGTTGTAGTAGGAAGACCACTGTCTTGAGTTAATGAGAAATGGGTTCTATGTGACTCTAGGCAAATAGATTATTTAACATAGTTTTCTCAGTTGTGATATTATGGACCAAATTATGTTTGAAAAGCAGATTCCTGGACACTATTCCAGACCCACTTAATATGAATATCTGGACAGTGAGTTTGGGAATTTACATTTTAAACAAGTATCTCCCAGGTAAATTTTATGTACCCTAAAGTTTGAGAACTACTGGATCCAAGAGTCCTTTTAACTCTTAGAATTTACTTTATTTGTTTGTTTACTTTTTGTGCTAAGTATAACCTGTTCTGGATCATCTATTCAGTCAACATTGATACGAAACATTTCTTATTTTATGCTGTAAATAATTACCCAAAACCTTTTTCTTAAAACTTGCACAAAAATTTTTTTTCTGTTATTCTTGGTCTTAAAGGTGCTTATGTTATTTAACGAAAAGTGCTTTGCTCACCCAGTGTTGTATTATGTTTATTTAATTTGTGCTTTTATTTTGGCTATGTCATTATCCTTTTCCTTCTGCCTAAAAGAAAAATTACTTGTTAGTAGAAAGTGGTTTTCTTTTACTGTTGATGAAGTTAGTTAGTTAGTTGATTGATCGATCAATCGATTGATTGATTGAAGTACAGTCAATTACAGTGTATCAATTTCTGGTATACAGCACA